GTGACATTGGTTGTACTCAAGCTGTAAAATCATTCTTTTTAACAGTTTTATTGAGATTTAATTACATATTATACAATTAATATTGTATAATAATTAATTATTGATATTTAATTAATAATTCAATCATATTAAAAAGAATTGTGCAAATCATCACCACAATTTTAGAACATTTTCTTCTTCTTGGATTCATTGTTTACAAGCTCCCTGTTTCCCCCCAGTGTCCCCTGCCATATCCCTAAAAAACTATTACTCTAATTACTGTCCTTATAGATGTACCAATCCAGGACTTCATAAACAAAAAAAATATACAGAAAACAATAAAAACAAAAAACCCAGATGCAGCGCTGGAAGCCCTCGTCTTTGCCACAAAATTGGGGAGCCAGCTCCCCAGCTAATTGCTTGAAATATATCAATATCTGTGCCCATTCCAAAGAAAAGTGATCCAACGCAAGGTAGAAATTATCAAACAATATTGTTAGTATGACATGCAGGTAAGCTTTGCTGGAGACAATTCAGCAACGGCTACAGGTGCCCGCTGCAGTGCGCGCGATGCAGGTTGCCAGAAGTTCAAGTTAGGACTTGTCAGTCAAGTGGGTCTTGGCTAAAAGGAGGTAATACCAGGACGATATTTACCTGTGTTTCACTGACTATGTGAAGGCATTCAACTATGTATAGCATAACGGATTATGGGAAACTGTAACAGAATGGGAATTCCAGAATCGTGCTCATGAGGAACCTGCATGTAGACCAAGAGCCAGACATTTAACCAGAACAGGGGACACCGCATGGTTTAGACTCAGAAAAGGGTTGTATTGTTTCACCACATTTTACCTAATCTGTATACTAAGCAACTAATCTGAGAAGATCGGCTACCTGGCATCATAATCACAGAAGACTCATTAACAATCTTGCTGAAAGCAAAGAAAGCTTGATACACTTGCTGATGATCAAAACTACAGCCTTGAAGAGAAACAAGTGGCCATCTAGCTGAGAAGCAACAAAGCCCACATGGAAGAAGCACACCAACCTGGGTGATCACGAGGGGTCGATAAGATCTGGTATCAGGCATCAAAGAACAAAACATCATATCACTGTGAATGAGGGGGAGTGGGAGTGGAGACCCAAAGCCCATCTGTAGGCCACTGGACATCCCCTTACAGAAGGGTCGAGGGGAGGAGACAAGCCAGTCAGGGTGCCGGGTAGCAATAATGAAACATACAACTTTCCTCTAGTTCTTTAATGCTTCCTCAACCACACTATCATGACCCTAACTCTACCTTACCAATCCAGCTAGACCAGAGCATGTACATGGGTACAGATAAGAGCTGGAAACACAGGCAATATAGGACAGATAAACTCCTCTGGACCAATATTGAGAGTAGCCATACCAGGAGGGGAAGGGGAAGGTGGGGGAGAAAGGGGGGATTGGTCACAATGATCTACCTATAACCCCTCCCAGGGGAATGGACAACAGAAAAGTGGGTGAAGGTAGACATCGGTCAGTGTATGACAGGAAAAAAATAATAATAATTTATAAATTATCAAGGGTTCATGAGGGAGGGAGTGTTAGCGAGGGAGGGGGAAAATGAGGAGCTGATATCAAGGGCTCAAGTAGAAAGAATATGTTTTGAAAATGATGATGGCAACAAACGTACAAATGTGCTTGACACTGGATGAATATATGGATTGTGACAAGAGTTGTACGAGCCCCCAATAAAATGATTTTTAAAAAAGATTTGTAAGGGTCCCCCAATCAAATGATTAATAATAATTTTTTAAATCTACACACACACACACACACACACACACACACACACACACACAAAAATTTACTGCCTTCGGTATGGTTTAGAATTCAATATAGAGAAAGCAAAATCCCTCACCATGGCACCATAAGCAATATTTTGTTAAATGGAGAAGAGGCTGCAGTCCAGAATTTCATTTTACTTGGCTCCGCAATCAACACTCACGGAGCAGTCAGGGAACCTGACATATTGCACCGGGCAAAGATGCTGCCTAACCTGTCTTTAAGATGTTGAAAAGCAAAAATGTCACTTGGAAGAATAAGGCACATCTGACGTAGCCATGGTATTTTCTGTCACCTCATGTGCGTGTGAAAGCTGGACAATGAATCAGGGAGACTGAAGAAGAACTGATGCATTTGAATTACAGTGTTGGCGGAGAATGTTGCATATACAGTGAACCCTCGCCACTTCGCGCTTCGACTTCCGCGGCTTCACTCGATCGCGGTTTTTGCGTAACAGCACCCACTGCCTACACCCGCTCCTTCAGAGGAAAAAGACGGCGACCCACCTGTAGAGTACATCCCTTAAGTCAT